CAATCCTATAACTCTGTGCAACTGAATAAACATTCTGATATCTCATTCAATCTTTGTAACACTGAAAAGTAGATTCAGTCCCTCCGCTCATTTGAAACCTAAAAAAAAAAAGAGGTTCCGAGTGTGACTGACTTGGTTAGTCACCAAAATGAGAGAACTAGAGCCTCTACTTGGTCTTCCCATATATAATAATATATATTCTTATATATTATATAATATAGAAAATAATTATCTAATACATAGATTATTCTATTTCTTATATTATTCTAAGAAATATACATATAGATATCTATTTCTTACACTATACTGTCTCTGTAAGTAAATCTGAGCCTAACAATTTTTTTTAAAGTTCAACCTGCATTTGAATATCAACTGTAACTGAAGACCTAAATGCTTTATACATGCTATCACATGTTTCAGCAAAACTTAAACTTCATCTTTGTTGAAATTAAGCAAAGTGAAGTATACTGATAATTAACAGCCTACAAAATGCTTAAGAAATATTTCCAATTTTTGCCGGTCACGGTGGCTCATGCCTGTAATCCTAGCTCTCTGGGAGGCTGAGGTGGGCAGATCATTTGAGCTCAGGAGTTCGAGACCAGCCTGAACAAGAGCGACACCCCATCTCTACTATAAATAGAAAGAAATTAATTGACCAACTAACATATACAGAAAAAATTAGCCAGGCATGGTGGCGCATGCCTGTAGTCCCAGCTACTCGGGAGGCTGAGGCAGCAGGATTGCTTGAGTCCAGGAGTTTGAGGTTGCTGTGAGCTAGGCTGACGCCACGGCACTCACTCTAGCCTGGGCAACAAAGTGAGACTCTGTCTCAAAAAAAAAAAATTAAAAAAATAAAGAAATATTTCTAATTTTCACAAATAGCTAATAAATTATATGTTCTTGACTATTTCAAGATAATAGGGCCTTTCATTAAAAGGTCAATGTAAACATTGACACTGCCAGATTTATAAGCTCTTTTATAAGCTCTGAAACTAAGAAACATTGAAATGCAAGGGAATATAGCATTAACCATCAAGAACATCTTCCCACTGTCACTCTTAAAACACTACTTTCTTAGATGTGCATCATGTAGGCTATCCCTCAATCTGTGGTCTCCTAGCAACAAAATGGAGAGGCCCGTAAGAGGCTTTTGCAATTTAAAATTATTTCACTGCCAGACTCAGGCCAGTTTTAGATCATACTAGCAGTTCATTAATATTATAAATTAGAATTTGAAATTAACCACAAAATTCAATAGCTCATCTCTGACAATGAACTAAATGATAGTACAACTCTTTTGGTAGTAGTTTTATTATAGGTACCATATCACACCCATCAGAAGAAGTAAGGTTCAATTTAATTCCACAAACTACAAAAACACCTCACTGGTTAACCAGCAGTTAAATAGAAAAATAGAAGATCAGTGACAGTGGTTTCTGCAATGTTTGCGTTCCCTGTCAGCTCTTTTCTTCGGGAGGGGGTCTGCGTGAGGCACTGCATGGAAAGAACACTGACACCTTGCCTACCAAGCAGACAGGGCATGGGACTTGAGCTTTAAACACACAAGAAATGTTTGACATTTTCTCATGAATATACATACATATTTTCATCTAATTTTATGAAAGCAACAAAAAAGCAAGAGCTATGAAGTAGTACTGAGAATATAGTATTGCCACAAAGCCAGTGTGGACGGTGGATAAACAATGAGAGGAGGAGGCTTTAATCAGCAGTTAGGGCATTGAGAATGTCTGTGAGATGAATTATCTGCAATATGCCAAGCACCTTTTAATGGCTGCCACATCATCAGAACCACCTGTCCCCTTTAAAGCACTAGTAGGTCAGCTCATAAATATGTGAGCTCTGTATGCATGTTTTGTTAATTCTGTGTTATGTTAATTCAGGAATCTGACATAGAAATAGACTACACGGTGTTTTAAATGAAGGATTACATGTAGACCATTAGAAATGAAAATGAGGAAATTCTACACTGAGGGGACAGGGGGAAGGTGGGGTGAGTAACACATATTCCAGTCTAGAAAGGTAATGATAGATAGTACAAGTGATGCAACATATAACATAGGAATGTAAACATCTAAAATATAAAAATGATATAAAAACTTAGTCTTCCCATTGTTTACTCACAGAGAAACTAGGTCTAATTTTTAGCTTCAAATAATTACATAACATTATTAAAACTCACAGATCTCTAAGTATTCATCTTCCCCTAAGCTTTCCTGGAGCCAAGTATTACTAGAAATAATACAATCTGACTAAAGGCTCTTTCAGATATTTTATTTTATTAAAAGACCAGTAACCCAGTCCAAAAGGTCTTTGGCTCTGAAATCCTGGAAAAGTCACTTAATCTGGCCACTGCTTTCTTGATAAATAGAGTTGACAATTTTGATGAATATGCTAATTAATATCTCATTATCACTATCTCCAACATCCATGCTTCTAAATGTTTTACAAACATAAACTCCCTGAGATCTCATAAATTATGAGATGTACTACTATCCTCATTTTATACCACAGGAAACTGAGGCACAGAGAGGCTAAGTAACTTGCCCTAGGATAATAAACTGACCTATTGTATCCATGTTAGACCTAGGATGCAATGACTTCTGTGCAAAGTGAGTGTAAATGGTGAAGATGAAAGTCTCCCTATATGTCCTGTCAATGACACAAAGGTAGCAGCAAAAAGGAGACGTTTCTTTAAAAACAAAAAGGCTTTTCAAAATCCTTTTAGGTTTACTGGCTGAAGGTTTGGCCTAGTTTCCTAAAAACAACGAAACACTTCACAAAAAGGATTGTTCCCCTGAGACAAGCATCAAGTGCTATCATGCTTTTTCCTCGAGTTACAGATTCTCTCCCTGGGAAGCACTTTCTGACTTGAAATACGTTGTGACATTAAGATCAACTCCTGGCATGAGGTGTTATGACATTAAATTGTATCTGAATGAATTTTAAATGTTTTGTGAATCAGAGAAAGTAGTTTGATGCCAGCATGGAGTATTAGGCGTCACTCTTTATGTATTCTCGTAAGTTTTAAGTGGAAACAAAAATTATAATTCACAGCTGTATCTTCAAGCTACATATTACATGAGAAATTTAGAAACCAGCTGTGACAAATGTCCTTTGACAGACTCTGGAGGACACGGACATTTATGTTTATGCATCTTTGCAGCCCACGTTTCTGTGCACTGCATGAAATTTGCCCTTAAGCATTTCCTAAAGACGTATCAATAACGGTGAAGTATTAAGATTTATAGCCTAAGATTTATAGCCAAAAGAATGAAGTTCGCAAAACAAGCCAAGAGCCCATTACGTGTGTTTTCTGAACTAAGAGAAAAAATATTGTGTCTAATAAAGGAATGGTTCAATATGTATCACTGGTCATTCTCAGAAATAAAAATCTGCTCTCGATGACAGCAAAGTATCTCTCATTTTCAAAAGGAAAAAGCGAAACAAGCACACATGAAATTCTGCCCCTCTCATCATAAACAGCTGAATCATTCTCATATTTAACAGCCCTGAATTCTTCCACAAGCTGTCACTGTAGGCTCTGGTTTCTGACCCTCCCTGGGAGATCATGGAAGAACCACAGGAATTAATGGATTCCCAAAAGACACAGATTTAAACAGGAGATGCGTTACCTTTAATCAAACTGGAGGCCCTGTCTACACGTTAATCTCTGGCGAAGGAAAAATACTACTGCGCTGCGAAAATGTATTTGTTTATCCAAAGAGTATCTGCTAACTGTCTACTAGGCGCAGGGCCCTGGCGCGAGACCAATGGACACATGACCCCTCGCCCCAGCGAGGGTGGCCCACCGCCCGAGGGGCGCTCCCTGAAGCCTGCGCCAGGCGCTGGGGCGGGGTCCCCCGCACGCGCCCGCCCGCGCCACCCTGGCGCGCCTCACCCCACAGGGGTCCTCCCAGCGATGGGGGCTCCAATGTGGCGAAAGGAACAAATTCAACTCGCCCGGGCGGCGGGGTCCCTAAGCACGCCCTCGACTGCCGCGCCCACGGGCGGGGCTCGGGGCGCCGCTGACGGCGAGGCCGTGGGACCCCCGCACCAACGAGGGGCCAGCGCCAGGCCCGACGGGCTGGGGGCCCTAGGGGTTCGCTGAAGGGCGCGAGGGGCTGAGAGACCCTGAGAGGTTGTGGAGATCCCAAGGGGGCGTGTTGAGAGCTCCGGAGGGCGCGCGAGGGCAGAGGGACGCTGGGCGTTCTGGGGAACCCAGGGGGCGCTGGGGGCCCTAGGGAATCTCTGGAAGGCTCGTGGGGACTGAGGGAACCCGGGAGGTTGTGGGGTTTCCAGGGGAGAGCTGGGGGCTCTGGTGGTCGGGAGTGGACTGAGGGACACTGGGAGGATGTGGGGTTTCCTGGGGGCCCAGGGGCGGGGGTCTGTGGAGTGCCGGGCGGGGTGGGGGGGACTGAGGAACCTTGGGGGGATGTGGGGTTTCCGGGGGGCCCGGGGAAGTCTCTGGAGTGCCAGTGGGGGATGAGGGACCTTGGGGGGATGTGGGGTTCCCGGGGGGCTGGGGGCCCGGGGAAGTCTCTGGAGTGCCAGTGGGGGCTGAGGGACCTTGGGAGGATGCGGGGTTTCCGGGGGGCGCTGGGGGATCTGTGGAGTGCCGGGCGGGGTTGGGGCTGAGGAACCTTGGGAGGCTGCGGGGTTTCCGGGGGGCGCTGGGGGATCTGTGGAGTGCCGGGCGGGGTGGGGGCTGAGGAACCTTGGGAGGCTGCGGGGTTTCCGGGGGGCGCTGGGGGTCCTGGAGAGGGCGTCTCTGGAGGGGAGCTGGGGACTGAGGGACCCTGGAAGTTGGGAGGTTTCCAGGGGGCGCTGGGGGGCTGGTCTCTGGAGGGCAGGTGGGGGCTGAGGGCCCCTAGCTGTGTTCTGCGGGATGCGGGGATCCGTGGGAGACTCTGGGGGTACAGCCGGCGGGGAAGGGGGCCGGGTACGGAGACCCACTAGGGCACGCGCGGTCTGGCTCTCACCCAAACAGCCCTCGGAGGAAGGAGTGGGAGGCCTTGACTCGCTTCTCGGCCTCCGCCATCAGCTGCACCGCCTCACGCTCCTTCCCGGCGTTGTCCATGTTGCCCGCCGCGGCCGCCACAGCCCCTCAGCCGGCTAGCTGCGCGCCCCGGGCGCCCCCGCCCTCCCTGCTCGGCCGCGCTGCGCAGGCGCGGCGCGCGGCCCGTCGGGACCTGTAGTGTGGGCGCGCCCGGCGGCGGGAGGCCCGAGCGTGCCCTTCGGTTCGGAAAGGCCGCGGAGCTCCGGGCCGCCGGCTCCTGGGGCTTCGGCGTGCGGAGCGGGACCTCTGGCGGGGCACTGGGCAGACGTGCGCTTTAATCTTTCAAGTATGCGGAAATGGAAGGTGACCCGTGGCTTCCAGTAGAGATCACCTAAAATACGTAGCATCCGGAATCCCTGCTCCATACGACTGACATGGCAATGGGATGGATGTAAAAACAGCCATAACGTTGGATGAAACGCTCAAGGGCGTGCAAGTTTGCAAAATAGAATCGAATGCAGCAGCCGGAAGCAATGGCATCACATGGTTGATACCACCCACTAAAAAAGGAGCAACGGCTGGCAAAGGAACCATTTTTTAATCTCCAAAAGCAAGACGTTTAAGAATATATCATCTTCCCCAATCTAAATTCAGTTATTTTTAAGCCTCCCTAAACTGCAATTGTCTGTTGATCCTCTCTTCCTTGATTATAAATGAGTTGCGTATATGTAATATATGCACAATCCATGTTCTTTATTCACTGAATTATGTTCAGTGGATGTGAGCCATCAGCACGCTTATCCTTTACGTAATGCTGGCCACAGCGGGTGGATCTTCTGGGGCAAAATTCCTGCCTGCCAGGAGGACATCCAGTCTCCTAGGAGAAGTATACATAGATAGACAGAATCCTGTGCCAGAAACTTCCAGGCCTGTCCCAGAGAGTTATTTTTGAATAGAGTGTCTAGACCATTTTGGCTTGGCAGTGCTAACATAAGAACCATTGCCAAATGAGAATTGATGAGGATCTCAAACTATTGATAAATACACTGGGGACACTGGCATGCAAAATTATCTAAGAAAATGAAGCCTGTCTTTACGGAGCAAAGTAAGAGGGATCAAACTCCTAGAAAGAAGGGTGACTAAAGCATAAGTCACAAAGTTCATACATTGCAGGACACTGTAGAGATAGAGGGAAATCTCACCTCTTCTTGCAGACTTTATTTACAATACTACTGTTAATTTGAAAAAAATGAGATCTATATATTGGGAGAGAAAATTGTATTTCTTCTACTTGGTTACAGCAGGCAAGGTGGCCATTCTGACAGGCTGGGAAGCCTAGCCTCCAGCAGAGCCCAGAAGCAGGCACTTCTAGGAAGAGAGAAGACAGGAGTTTAAACTGAAAGGTTTGTCCAAGTATACATATTCAATAGGTTACAGGAAGAACTATGAATATTCATGAAGGTGGTCCTAACATATGCGTATAGAATAAACATGCATCCCATGTTCACCTAGGGGTGGAGACTTAACATTTAACTGTGTTATAATGTTATAAGTAGGCCCTATATGTCAAAAGGTCTTTTCAGGACACAAAGGCACTCAAGTATGTACCTCTGAAAACCCGCCAGAACCAGTCCATGGTCTGTGGTCTTCTTACTGAAATCAGTCTCTTGCCCTACCAAAACTCTAGTTATGGCTTATGGAATGGGATGGCATCAGCATCTGGCAGTGGATAAGCTGGAATTGTTTTAATATACCTTGAGGCATGTTTAGCTGCTATAGAAAACATACTTTATTCTTTACATGTAGGGATGTGTGATTTAACCCTTGCCCAACATGGCCTTAGGTCCTGTTTATAATTTGGTATCTTATTGCCACAAAGAATCCATTCTGTCAGTCTTATGATCTCTATTTTAATGTTAATAGTGGTCAGTTGTGTCTAAATTGCAGAACTGGGGGGATTATAATTGGGCGTGTCCAATATAGTATCCTGTCATGGCTGGGAGCTCAGTTTTAAGATGTTTCCAGGGTCCCCTTGGCCATGAGAGGGTCTGTTCAGTAGGTTGGGTGGCTTAGGATTTTATTTTTAGTTTATACTACATTGAGTTTATACTACATTGTATAATAAACTATATTTAGTTTATTATACATTGTTTTAACTTGAAAAGCTGATTTGTTTGTTTTGGGGGGAAGAAGGAAACAGGAAATTCGAAGTGACAGTAAATGCAGCAGAGGAGAAAGAAAAACTGCAAAGAGCAGAAGGATGTAAGCATTTGAAAAGTAGAGCAGTCTATGAGGATTTAATGGAGAGAGACCAACTCAAAAGCTTCTAAGTGCATTAGTGTGTTGATTAAAGCAGTTCTCAAACCTGGCTCAATGCAGAAGCTCTAAGGCATGTTCAGGAAATACTGATTCCTATGCCACTAGCTTTTGGTATTTATACCAAAATACCTCTTAGACCTCTTAGAGTTGGGGTTTAGAAAGTGTACATTCTCAAAAGAACTCTTTTCCCCTATTTTAAAGCTCACAGTTGTTTTTGATTCTCAAATCTGTAATCAGCTGAAAAGGAACTGGAATGGACTGCCTCCTCTATACTGGAACTTGCAACTAAGAGTGGCAGGGATCTTTCTTGACACTTTTGGTAGTTTCTGGTGATTTCCCTCATTCTCTTCTTCCTTACAGTCCCGCTCTTCCCCCAGCCAACACCAACGTGGGAGAAAACTTCAAACCTTAATTGCTGGAGCAAGTGTTTCTTCTCCCAGAGGCTAGGGGAGTGGAGGGGGAAGGGCAGAGAGACCAACCTCACAGAATGAGGTCTGAGTAGAGGGACAGATGAGGAATCCTTGAAGCAGGAGGGAAAAGAAAAGGAGAAAGCATCCCTGGTTCAGGAAAGGAGTAAAAGGATCTTGAGTAGGAGCTGTCCTGGAGAAGAGCCAAAGAACCCATTGCCTATGCCTGTGCTGTCTAGGATAGGGCCATTTGCCACCTGTGGCCATTTAAATTTAAATTAAACAATATTAAATAAAATGTAAAATTCCATTTGTCAGCCACAGTAGCCACTTCCTTCCTCCCTCCCTTCCTTCCTTCCCTTCCACTCTTCCTTCCTCCCTTTCTTTTTCTTTCTTTTTAAAAATCACTTCTCACCTGAAAAAGTAGCCACATTTCAAGCACTCAATAGCCATATGTAGCTAGTGGCCACTAAAAGAGTTAAAAATATTGCCTGGCATATTGACTATTTAAGTTAAAGATGTGAAAAACAATAGGTCAAGAAGATCACTTTGACCTTCTTCTTTTTTTTTTTTTTAACATACAGCATGCACACTAGACACTTTGACCTTGTTGCTTAAAAGCAAGAGATAAAATTCCCATGAGACAAGCATCCTCCCTATACTGGAAAAAAAGCAACATTTTGACTATGGAAAAACCAAATTGCCAAAATATTTAAAGACATTTATTCTGAGCCAATTTGAGTTCCTGCAGCCTGAGGAAACAGAGTTTCAGGGTGTCCTGAGAAAATGCACCCAAGGTGGTCGGGTTATGGTTTGGTTTTATACATTTCAGGGAGATGAGACATGCAGGTAAAATCATAAATTAATACATGGGAGGTATATACTGGTTTGGCCCCAAAAGGTGGGAAATCTCAAAGCGGGGGCTTACAATTTATAGGTGGGTTTAGGGATTCTTTAGTTGGTAAATTGGTTGAAAGAGCTAAGCTTTGTTTAAAAACTTGAGGTCAGTAGAAAGGAATGCTTAAGTTAAGGGGGGTCTTTTATCATTCAAGTGATGCCATGCCAGAGTCAGATTGGAAAGCAAGCTGCAATATACTGGGTGAAAAGATCTATTTAACAAAATCGTATGGCTTGTAAGGTATGGCTTGTGAAAAGATCTATTTAACAAGATTATATGGCTTGTAAGGTATGGCTTTCCCCAGGTTCCTTAGAAAGGAATTTGAGCAAGGGAAAAAAGTCAAGAATTCAGTCCTCAATTCTTATCATCAAAGAAAGGAAGTTGAGGCCAAGAGAATTCTGTACAAACAAACCCTGTTAATCTAACCCTTATCTTCCTAGACTCTTCTCTACCCAATTAACTACCATAGCCCAAGCCTCTTTGCCTTATCACATTTTCACAGTTTGTTATTCTTTGTCCAATTCAATATATAAGTAGTAGACTCTAACTGCTTCTTTGGGCTTTTCTTTCACTGTCAGGGCTCCCAGGACACATCAAATTAATATTAAATGCACATGTATTCTTTTCTCCTATTAATCTGTCTTCTGTCAATTTAAATCTTGGACTCAGACAGGACCCAATGAGGATGGAGGTGGAGTCTTGCCTCCCTACGCTACCACACCGGACTGCACAGAAAGAGAACATTTTTATTGTTGCACAGTCCAGTGGATGGCACTGGCCTGAGCGCATCTTCCCTTTCAGCAGCCCTGGACTCGTGTAAGAACAAAGGAAAAAGGCTTCAGGCAGTTTCTGAGAAGATGGAGCAGGAAAGGAGGAGCCTGCACCCTGAACAAGGCAGAACCAGCAAAACCTGCTGGCCTCTCCCTGTGAGCAGATGGACACCTGGACACTCAGACTTCCACACACAGGAAACTGGACTGGAGTGTTTAGTGTCCATCCACTTCTCCCAAGAAATGGCCCACCAAGGCAGGGCTGAAGCCATTTGAGAACACCAGCTCCTAGAGAGGCAGGGTCAGAAAAGGACCCATATGGAGAAAAGGTGAGGTTGTCTGTACATGTTCATAGAAGGGGAGAGCGCACCAGGCAAAGATCCATATCAAAAGTTCTGGGGCATCCCTTCTGCTTCACTGAAGCAAATTGAGAAGCCTTGTGCACATTGAAGGGAAGGGGAATTAGATGCCATCTCTTGATGGGAGGGGTCTGCAAGGATTTGCAGACATTTTAAAACCACCCCAGTTAGGTTAGCAGGGGTCCTTAAACTGTGGCCCGTGGGCCACATGCAGCCTGCCGAGGACATTTATCCGGCCCTCCTGGTGTTTTTGCCACCACTGCCTGTCCTGCTTAGCAGCCGACTTGTCCCGGGTCCACAGTGCACATGTGTGGAATATGCGCCGCACTTTCCAATGGCCCTCGAACAATCTGAGGGACAGTGAACTGGCCCCCTGTTTAAAAAGTTTGAGGACACCTGGGTTAGGGAGTCAGTCCTCACCTTGGTCT